TCCAAAGCCCTCGCGAAAATAAGCTACTTTATATATACTCCAGGACCCTTCCTAATTCTTTACATCATCTAAGCTATAGCAGTATACCACACACCATAATATTTTAGGAATATGCACACAATATATAGTCACCTTCAGCTGCTAGTGCTTTATCTCCGTGCTTGTAGGCAAAAGCGCCGCCTATCTCCTGCTGTCAACCTCATGATTAGATGCCCAGTATCAGTATTGCTTACTCGACTGCCAAGAATTTACTCCACGATAGAAGGTTGGAGATTAGAACATCATGACTCACCGGAAACGGGCGTTCATATCTGCGAGCACTCGTCTGAAGATCTCCAGTGGATGGGAAATGATGAAGCATCCCATTCGGGTGGTAGAAAGGTAAACCAAAAATTTCCTTCTCGCAGTGGATATTGGATTTAACTTCTTTGGCAACATGAATTGGCCTTCAAAATTTTCTCGTGGTACAATGAGCAATGGTATAATAAAATATGGCATGGATGTAGCTCTCATAGGAATCATAGGAATGAAAATGAGAAATATGGAGTTCCGTTTGAAAGTAATCATTGGTCAAGTCGCAAGTAAATGTTGAGTAAAGGAAAAATGTGTTTGCAGTGGACGCATTAGTGGGTCAATGGCTATTTAATTTACCGTATTTTCGAGTATCGCCCGTTTCTTCTCGTCTCTGACAAGATGGAATTCCGTCTTTCGTCTTGAAGACAGGGCGCGGCGGGAGCGTCTTACTTCGCTCCCTAGAAATTATCTGCAATTAATGTTTCAAAATTATTTTCCAATTCGCGACTGAAAACGAAAGCATTGCAAGTCTTGTTAGAGGGAGCAATTAATCGAAAGATACGAGTACCTCAAGAGGGTTCGATGCTGAGACGGACAGGTGGAAAACCATCCGTTACTTTGCTTGTGAGACCCAGCGGAGCAAGGCATTCAGACATATTGGTTCCAAGGAGTTTCTATTGAGTGGTGCGATGAGAAGAGAATGACTAAAAAGGTGGTCATAGTGACCAAGGAGAAACCACATGTTTCTTGTCAAGTCATCAACCATAACTATGATCCACGATTTTTCTCATCAGTAGGTCACAGTAAATACTTTATAGACGCAAGGTTCTCATGAATGCATCATGCTAGAGGCGCCAGTGAGCCTGGTTCTCCTGGGCTCCGGACCACCCAGCGGCTGAACTACACGATGGCGATATATAATGGAAAGAGTCTCAAAATTGTCTTACGACATTTTAGGTGTAGATTGCCAGATGCATTATTTCAACAGGAAAGGAACTTAGAAGAATTCTCGACGTGATTCAATGGTATTCTCAAACGCGAAAGTAAAAGCTCTTTCAGGACCTCCGCCGCAGACAAAGGGGCGGGTTATAATTAGCCTTCAGAGCGAAGAAATCGCACTGCATCGCTCTCTTGTGAACCGCCAGATAACTTTTGCCACGAGCCTGCGCGGGCGGCAAGACACGTCCTCCACGTCCGCCTCTTCCTGAGGAACTGCACGTCTCCGTAGACCGCCGACAGATTCCCTGTACAGAGATAGCAGGAATATTCTTCCATGGACTCGTCAATTCATTCTCTGGACGTTCTATGCTGCCGAGAACGGTCGCTTCGAGTTGGTGGCTACGGTGAATGGTTTTTCACTCACGAGCCCTTGCATAAGGTCTTAAGTTCAACTTTGGCAATGATAATGAGGAACTCAGCCTAAACTAGTCGGTACTTGCCGACCAGCTCCCCCCCCCAAAAAAAAAAGAAAAAAAGAAAAGCCGATTCGTCTTTGCTTGTAGTTTTCCTTCGTCTTTCGGTCTTCCATCTATCACATGTTAGCCTTGACGCTCTCCACTGACTCAATTCCGAAATTTATTGGCGCATTTATGATTGGTCTTTTAAAAATGATTCAGGCACCTTGGACCCTCGATGAAAGATGGAGTGGAAATGACGATGCAGGAGGCTCCTGGCAATCGTTTCAACAAAGATGTCCTCGAGGCCTATCTGCTTCTTCTGCTAAATCGTATGAAGACTGACTGGTTTGTTTAAAAACCTGAATTCTTCAGACCCCGATAGAATGAGAACTCTTAAGCAAACAAGGATACGGCACACAATGAATCGATTACTGGACTGATTCCTCCTTGAAAATCCTATGATCAAAACAATTCTCCTTTATGTACTATTATTCGAAGAAGGGGAGGGGGGGGGGGGAAGGTTTCTCGTCGTCTCGTAGATGCCGAAAATGCAAGTGGAAATATCTCGATCGTCATTGTGGACGTAATTGCCGGGAGCAGTGTAATGAGCATGCCATTCTTCATGTTCTATATGAGAAATTGTGGCATGAACAACCACTTAATATACTCATTGTCCAAAAAAAGCAAGACAAAGGAGCGGAGCGATCTTAATGAAATTTGATGCATAAATATGAACTTTCATGACATGAAATCGATTAATTTTTTTAAGTTTGTGGGATGAATATTTACGGAGAAAATTTGCCTAACAATCTAATTTCAATGGCGGCTATGGGGACATACTAATAGTCCGAAACGCTCCCCGAGGTTTTCGCTGACGAAACTTTACAGAACAGAAAAAAAAAAAACAGTTCAATTTTTCCTTTCCCTGACTGGAATGAATGTATCAGCTTCATGCATCAGACTGATGCATGAGGGCTGAGGGCTGGTGGTCAGGTTAAAGGGCGGTGAGTATTCCTCCGACATTCCGCAAGTGTTCTCTGTATCGCCTCATTTTACGATCTCGAAACTTCGCTTGATTTTCCTGCTTGTCGGTAGGAGCTTTTCTGCTGTGTCATTGCAAAAGCTTTGTGCCAAACGTCATCAAGATAGCTCGAATCCTTTCTTCTTGGTCGTGCTTTTTTGTGGCAATGAGAATTCTCTTCTTTCAGCTTGGATCTGCAAGTCAAAAAAAGGAGAAAAATCTAAAAGGTCATTGTTGGACCTTCAGATCACATAATTAAAATAACGTCTTGAAAGGCTTCGTATCTCTGTCTACCTCATTATGCTCCTAAATTATGAGTCTTAATAATATTTCTTGCTGATCTATTCTTTCTTCCGAATGAAGTCTCCCAACAAAAACTTCCCGTCATCCCTGAATACGACACTTTTCCGCCCTACAATATTCTAGATCTCGTATTTCTTTCCCCTTTAAAGGAACTCGGCTTTTGTCGGCTACGGATGTAGTTGTTTGGGCAAACGCTGGCAATGCTCTTCGTACGTCATGGTTTTTTCACGTTACCAATCCTATTTTCATTTCAAGATAGTGTTTGACGTCAGTTGGCAGGATTCCGTTAGTGCTCCATATTTCTAATTTGAAATTTGGTGTTGCTACCAAAATGCCACGAAAAAGTAGGGAAAGTATAAACTATTTGCGGCGCAATCTACTGAACGTAAAAGAAAGAAAGATGTTTTGGGGTCACAATCACCAAATGAAAGAGCAGAACGACGTGTGCGAAATGCGACTCATTCCACTCATTTCTCACTGTGCGCGCTGGGGCTTTTAACTTTAGTAGTACGGCAAGGTAGTACTGGTAGTAGGCCTACGATATCTTCTCGTCTGTCTTCTTGTAAATTCCTTTTTTATTGTCGGAGCCGACTGTCCAGTTAACGTAGGTTATCTTATTCAGGGATTATTTAGTCGTGTTAATTGCTGGAAGACGTCATCTCACATCTCAGAATACTTCGTAAAAATGAATTATTTATTTTCCGGTTCGTGAATTTTCCCTAATTAAACTGAGAGCTTTCGCTGCGGTTCTCTCGCGGAAAGATTGAAAGTACTATTTACTCACGCGATGATTCAGAGAATCCTAGGGCAGAAGTAGTACTTCCTATAACATTCGAATAAGATGGCGACCATCACACGCCATTCTCCCCCTTCTCAAAGGGCGAGAGAGGCGGATGAGCAATTCTTCACAGCAAGTGGGACTTGCATCGTTTAGGAGGAGGTCTCCGCCCAGCGGGGAGAAGAAGCCGCCGTGCCCTTCGTTTACCCAGATTGCAACCACTGAATACAGAAGTATCAAAATCTCATGATTGTGAGGATTTCGAGGGTGAGCGGGAGACCTCTATGATTTGGGCATGAAAACTGAAAGTGTCAGGTGGCTTCCCTAAGGTGCCAATACGAAGAGCTTCTCTGAAATTCCATTTACACTTTCCTACACTCTCAAGGGGGGGAGGGGGGGGGGAACGGGAATGTTCGAAACAGGCTTTTCCGACTCGATCGAGGAAAAGACTCTCCGCTTCACGGTCGAACTTGAAATGTTAACCGCAATATACCAGGAAGGAGACGTAAAACATTCCGTGAACATGAAGGAGTGAGACTTCCGAGGAAATGCAGGAATTCTTTTTAAAGTGTTGCGGAAATCCAGTTTACATGGTCCACGTATTACGGCTTGAACTCGGAAATTTCAGAAAATGTTTTTCTAACAGTAATATGATTTAGGAGTGTGACAAATGATGCTGGAGGATTAGAAACGGCTTCGAAGGCGTACAATCATCTTCAGGTTCTGGTTCGAACAATCTTAATTTTTTATAGTGTACCATTAAGTCTGTATCATTGTACTACGTATGCGACATTATTATTAGCAACACCAACGTTCGTCAGGAATAATCATAGTTATTTTCTTTTCCTTCCACCATTTATTTACACTCGTCAATTTTTAATCCATAATAATGCCTAACGACACCAGCGTTGGCAATGAACATGAGTATGAATGAGAGGCAAAGTATTCGTCATTGTGTGGTCATCGTGTGTTCACAACGACCACACGAAAACCCATTCTCCTCCCCTTTATTGATGCGGATCGATTTTTTCATCTAAGGCATCAACAGCAGTGTTCATGAGGGACACGATCATACCAATGAAAGGGCCGATCGCAATCGTTATCCTTACCCATCCATGAAAAAGCGAAGAAATCGAGCTAAGGTGCGGTCGCAGAAAGGGCAAGCACCATCGAACTCGGTTTCCCTCAGTCAGAAGGTGGGATTCGCCCAATCGACATGCGGCACGGTTTCTCTTTCCTCTTCTTCCTTCTATGGGATGGAAGGCTTCTGGAGGGAAGCAAGGAGGAAATTCAGCTCAGAAAGAACCTCTTTGCAAATTATTCTATGGTTCTCCCCGTCGAGTTCCCCAATTCCCCACTCCTGGTCACCTTCCGGCTCGTTCTCTATCGGATCACAGAATTGGTCAGTTTCTGTATCGTGTTAACCGCCTTTTAGTTGCAAATGTTCACGAAGTAAGTGCGGTGATTTCCGCTAGGACGAGAGAAATCAGGCCCTCGTCACAAGCGTGGAGGTCGTTCTCCGATGGAAGGATGCCTATTTGAAATGGGACACGAAGGACTACGGTGGAATCGAGCAGATCATGGTACCCTATGCATCCATCTGGACGCCGGACATCATCCTAGGCAATAGGTATCATGGTTTCAGTCACGATTCAGCCACAAAGAGTTCTGGCAAATGCGTTGGACGTCTATGGGGATATTTTGGCTCATACATTATGCCCCACAGAAAGAGAAGACATTTTAGCCAATTGATGACTTCTCACCACTAGATTTCATACGCTCTGTCACAATTTTGATGCCTATTTCACTGTTGAACGAAGAAGTGGTTCCTACCCTACCTCTAGCCATTATTTAATACTTCTAATTTCTCATATTTCATGTCAATATTTTTTCCTTTCCAAGAAGTCAGCTTGGGAACTCAAAATCCTGAATAAGTACTCTTGCAATGAGTCCTGTGCATCATGAATAATTGTTAAATTTTCAATATTCGATTATGTAGCAATCCAATGTAGACAGGCAACCGCACCTATTGAATAGTGACCATTTACGAGTGGATTCAATATTGTTTCAGCTGATTAACCTTTCAAGTGTGTCTGCTCAGTCGGCGACTCTCGGTTCTTACAGGAAATAATCGTTTGCCACTTGGCTATCACGCGATGCCTGATTTTCCGCATTTGCCAAATTGAAATATGAGAAAACTAGAGGAAATTCACGACATACTCCGTCGACGTGTGGGACACATCGTCCGCACTTGGAGATTTAAGATAACCTTTTGTTCCAGCATGCTTTCCTTAATTACTGTGTGCTGCGCAGAGAGGAAGACACATAGCCCAGTAAATACTGGTCAAGCAAGCGGATTCCCACCCCCTTCACTCGCAGTACTTTCAAAGCGACTGAATTATGGTTGAACTCGTTATGTATTGCAGCGTGTCCACGAACTACGCAGAACGGCTGCTGACGACAAACGCGATCGTGAGCTCGACAGGGGAGGTGGCCCTGCTCACGGCTGCGAACTTCCGCTCTACTTGCGACGTGGACGTCTCCTCCTTCCCGTTCGACATCCAGAATTGCACGATGCGCTTCGGATCCTGGAGCTACGACATGACCATGGTTACTCGCTCGCTCCTTTTCTGCCTCCCTGACTACATTTTCTTGTATACGAACGGTTCACCTCAATTGCTTGGTAACAGTACCCTTTCCAGGCGTCAAAGTATTGGTAGCACCTAGACACAATCCACGCATCTTCAGTCACCATATTAGAGACCTAAAAATGTGGAAACCCAGAGCCATTGAAAATTCCTTCCAGAAAGTTTTCTTTGGAACCGTCACTTGTTAAGACAACAAATTCAAGACTACTTTATAAATCCTTTAATGCTTCACTGTCGTTAAATATTTCCACCTTTCCCGAAGGAGCACATAATATGAAAATATGATTCATTATTTTAGGTGAACCAACGCACGAGACTTCTAATGCCTGGAAAGTATCTGAATCAGGTTTTCTTTCTGACACGCCCAGATTGGAAGAGTGTGAAAGCCATATTTCAAAGGCCTTCCTCTTTCTTCAACCCCCTCCCATTCTCTAAGGAGCTCAATAACGTTATGCTTGGGCCTAACACACTGACTGTCTTCAGGTCGGGTTTAGTCGTACCTTTTTTTCCTGAAAGAATCTCAACCTTCAACTTAAGGTGGAATTAGTCCTTTGATGGTGAATTCCAGCGACTTCCATACAACTCAGCGATGATGTGTAATATACTGCCGCTTATAAGCTTATTGAAACTTTAAAGAAAAACCATTCCAGAGGGAATGACCTACGCTCGGCCATGTTGGAAGCCATTAAAAGCAGGGATGTCCATGCGCGCTCTGGCCATATCCCACTACATCGATTGGCCATCCCTAATCCCAGTTTCAAAATTACTTCATCCCATGAACTCGGTTCAAAAATACATGAAAAAAAAAAACAGATTATCCAGGCACCGATGCGAAAGTAGGAGTCATTAATCAAACATAACTCCAGCACGACATCTGGCAACCCTGGGAAACGGGACTGGAGTCGGCACGCTAAGCCTAAATGGACACAGCTGATCTCATTTTTCCTAGCGAAATAGTGCATCACATATAAACAAATGGAACATTTCGTGATCTCTAAGTCAATATCTTTCCTTGGTCGGGTTATCATCTTCAAGACTACCCAGAAGTGACTACCCAAGTGAGAAGGGAGAAGAAGATAAAAACAACAGGTTGGAGTTGACATCACGAAAAAGGAGATTCAATGTTCGCAATCGCACGGGACTGAAGCTTCACATTTAGTGGAGCGAATTTGTGTTTAGAGCATGCTGAATTTCATTCCTCTACATTCTCTTAGAGAGGAATACGAGTGTAATATAATTTTATGACTAGAAGAAATTGGCGCCCAAATGCCACTCAATAGGAGATTGTAGACATGCCCATTTAGTGGCAAAAGCAACTGGGATCTTCAATGCAGCAGAAAAATTGGTATTGATATTTATCCATGAAAGTCATTCTCCTGATAGACTTGCTTACTAAGAATTCAATCCGTCAAATTCCTTGAGGGTGCATAGTGATGCAATGTGTGGCGTGAAGCACTATAGGCCTATCCCCCACATCTTCAAGGGGGGGAGGGTGGACGTAGGGCTAATAGTGTTCTAAAGGCTTCCGAAAGTTTGATTTTTTTCCGAGAAAAGTTCTCGTTCCATCAGGAAGAGGAGGTAGAAGGATTTTCATCCTGGTTGACACAAATGCTGCCCGTTGAGCAAAAAATTGGTCCAAGAGGACATCTGTTGCGTGTACATGTTCTAAAGCTACCATTTAGTCATGATGTGTCAAAAGTTCCTATCAGATGTTCATCTTCTAATGAACGAGGGACGGGGGTCTGCTATCATGCCCAGCCCTTTAGACTGATGTCAGAGTTATCATGTTTTCAGAGCTGTTCTTGCGAGGCTCGTGGGCCACTCCATGAAGAGCGGCTCGATTACACAAGCCGATTGGCCCTGTAACCTCCTATTCCAGCAAACCTGACCTTCCTCGGCTCAAAATATAAAGTTTTGACGGCTCATGGCACCCTTGTCATCCTTCGCGGCATCACGTAGAGGTCAAGGCATATATTTTGAGAACGGCTCTTGCACTCGATTGAAATATTCAGATTTGTGTCCTGCGCCCGATACAGACAATCGAAATGGATGCAAAGCCGTCACATGTCTAAGAGCGACATTGCATCGGCTACGTCAAGGCTGGGAAACACAATGGACCACATCTTTTCGCATCCGCATTACACAGATTGCGTGGAATGTCTCCAGTTGCGGCGGATGGTGCGAGACGCTTCCCCATCTCTTGCAGAATCAGACGCGAGATGCACAACAATCCGGAATTAACTGCACATTTCTTACATTGTTTGCACGTTTGATGAAACTTTGACCGGCCTTTTACAGCCTAGAATTAGATAACAGGATAATACCTTTTCCATAGGAGCATTTGAGCCCTTGGATTTTGCATACCAAATTATTCTCGGTTTTCTTCACGAAGCACATTTTTTTCAGCAATGAATTTGTAGCATGAGAGTAAATTCTCGAAGCTGTGCCCTCTAAGAGAAAATCAATGGCCATAACTAAGCCTGGAAGGTCCCAACTTCAAGAAGATTTGTAAACATTAATAAATCACAACGGAAAAGTGCATTCGGGATGTAATGAAAATAAGATGCTTGAGGACTTCCTCAAAATGCTTATATCAGGTCATCCCATAATTAATGCGGTTTTTTTCGCATTGCCAAACTTGTGTCTTGTTTATACGTATATCTTTGCACATCTCATTGAATATTTCTATGCTAACTTGTGTAGACGTTAGTCCTCAGTCTACGTGTAGCTATTAGCGAGTTAACAGCGCTCCGTTTTTCTTAGACATTAAAAACAAGATGGAGGTGTCAGAGGAACACATTCGGCATATAATGCTTTATGAATTTAAGAAAGGGAATAACGCGACTGCAGCCACGAAAAACATTCAAGATGTTATTGGTGAGAAAGCTCTAAANTTCGGCATATAATGCTTTATGAATTTAAGAAAGGGAATAACGCGACTGCAGCCACGAAAAACATTCAAGATGTTATTGGTAGAGAAGTTCTAAATGCGAGGAAATGCCAACGGTGGTTCCAGAAACTCAGGTCTGGTGACTACAGCTTAGCCGATGAAGCGCGTTCAGGCCGACCTGTTGAGTTCGATGATGACCTGCTGATAGCCACACTTGAAGATTATCCTGCTGTAACAGTTGAAGAACTTGCCCAGAAAGTCAATTCGACCCATTTCTCCGTCCATTGCCGCTGGGAAACGACGGCTGGGAAAAGTGTCAAAACTTGGAAAGTGGGTTCCACATGTGTTGTCACCAGACAATCTTAGAGATCGAGAAAGCATTTGCGCTTCACACCATTCTCGTGAACTTCAAGCGCCGTTTTTGAATCGACTCATTAGCAGGATAATCGTCAGGCAAGTTCTTCAACTGTTACAGCAGGATAATCTTCAAGTGTGGCTATCAGCAGCTCATCATCGAGCTCAACAGGTCGGCCTGAACGCGCTTCATCGGCAAAGCTGTAGTCACCAGGCCTGAACTTCTGGAACCGCCGTTGGCATTTCCTTGCATTTAGAGCTTTCTCACCAATAACATCTTGAATGTTTTTCGTGGCTGCAGTCGCGTTATTCCCTTTCTTAAATTCATAAAGCATTATATGCCGAATGTGTTCCTCTGACACCTCCATCTTGTTTTTAACGTCTAAGAAAAACGGAGCGCTGTTAACTCGTTAAAACCTACACGTAGACTGAAGACTAACGTCTACACAAGTTATCATAGAATAGAAATATTCCATGAGATATGCATAGACACACGTATAGACAAGACACAAGTTTGGCAATGCGAAAAAACCGCATTACTTATGGGATGACCTGATATTTTCTCGATTTCATCCTGCACGTACCATTATGATGCCCATAGTCACCAGACGAAATCCAGTTGGTAAAAAGAAAGAGACGTTTCAGATTCAATTGGAATTGGACCACAACAAAACGTTGGAGCTGCTGACATATACCCAGAACGAGGAGTTCATACTCGAATCTTACGAGGCAGGAAAGGGGCTGGTACTCGATGCGTGTTGTCCGAAACCCTTCTCCATTGTGGAATATGTCATTCGGATCAAGCGACGCTCTGCTTTCTTCGTCGTCAGCTATGTCCTCCCGATGGTGGTCATCAACATCATCGGTATGATGTCATTCTCTCCTTGTGCCTAAAAATAACGGTAAGCGCTCGAATGCGAATGAGAGAGGTGTATGTTTTGATCTAGCTCTTCTAGCGTTCCTGATGCCGAGTGAGAGCGGAGAGAAAGTGACGCTGGGGATCTCCGCCATGCTCACAACAATCGTTTTCCTCATGACCATCCGCGACATCCTCCCGCCCACCGAAAACATGCCTCTCATAGGTAAAATTTTCCCTGTGGAATCGCCATCACTCTTAGACAGTGCACCCCATTCAATGGAGTCAATTTTCGCGATCCGACAGAAAACAATAGCAAAAATAGTGAAATTGTTGTTCGTCATGCTGGATACAGAACCATATAGAAAGATTGAAGAAAATAAAAAAAACAAGCTGGAACACTTTGTATGCTATGCATGTAACAATATTTTATACTGTGAAGCCAATAAATTCTTGGAAATTTTATGGCTTACAGTCAAGGTGCGGAATAACAAATCCTTTGATTGTTATGATCTACCATGGCCTAATATGTTAAACCACAAATCACAGAGAGTAAGTATTTTAAAATGCAGATCTGGAAGCTAATTTTAAAGCAACAGCCATGCATATTGAATGGCACATACGGCGTGTTGATTCAAGATGGGCGAAGTTCACTCCGTTACGATAATTGCAGGGAAATACTACTGTGCCAGCATCTGCCTAGTGTCATTGGAAGTGGTGTTGAGCATCTTCACCCTATACCTTCATCACTTGAAGGACATCCGGGTATCCCTTCGGATTCAGAACGTGTGTCGGTTGTTGGCCAAACTGACGTGCATGCAGCAGCCAAATTTCCGGACCGTGTGTTTTTCTCTCCATTTGATCAAATATAAGGTTCTTGTCTACACATATCTCACGATGCATTTGCAGGTGATTGTGGGAGCGTGTGAGAACGAGAAAGGGAAAAAGGAATTTTCGGACGGGATATCAATTCCTTCTCTCTTCGGTGCAAAGATGAAATCGAGTAGACGCCATGCTTGGAAGGGGCCAGTTGTACCCATAAGCAATGAACCGATATCTGGTACGTTACACATCTACACACCATGAGTCCTTTCAGAGACAAAATGCTTCCGTGAAACCTCATAATTGGTTTCACAGATTCGCGAATTTCCCCTAGAGTAATTTCACAGAACTACATCTTTCCGGAGCGGAACTTTGACAGTCTTTTCGCAATAAGATTTTCTCCTCGAAAGTAGACTTTACTTCCTCGAAGAAGAAAAATTCCCGACTGAATTTTGTGACGTCTTCCATTCACTTCTCAGCGATCGACCTTCGTGGATTCCTCATCCAGCTGCGCCAATCGCGATGGAATAAAATACAATGTTGCCACTTGGTGAACCCCTACGGTCCAGATCTTATTCTGCGACAAAAGCTGAGGTCTTTAGCGACATCGAGTTTCTTGCCACTCCGCCAAATCCCATACACTTTTGGAGACCTCCACGATGTGGTGCCTTCAAGAGTGAGAACACCTAGATTCAATGATGGATACAATTCTTGGGAGGAATGAGAAAAAGTCGCCGGATATTTCTCTTTTCCGCGTCAAGATCTGCACCTCTCAATAAGGCGCGATGAACGAACTTCCCCCCACAACGAAGGCCGTAGGAAGCTGCCATCGTGCTTTCGGGAATGGTATCAATCTCTCTCCCCCTCTCTTCAAGTTTGTCAGTTTTTTCAAAGGAGCAGAGTTTGAATGAAATGAAGATTGCTCAGCTTCTTGCTGTAGCTCCCCCTTCTCCCATGCAGCATACAAATTGAAGTCCAGATGAAGACCTTGGTCCAGCGATATATATGATATAGATCACAGATACTTCGTTCGATGAGTGTCGCATAACTTGCGTTACTGAAGACGATTGATGGATGTGATGCATTCAGGGAGCGGGTGTTTGAAATATCGCAGATGAAGGCCTAGATTGTTAAGTGGTGTTGTAATGTTAAGTGGTGTTGTTGTGATAAGGCCTCTTCTTGTTAAGTACAAATTCTGAAGTATAATGAAGACTGATGGTTGACATTAAGCCCTGATTGCTTCATTTTCGGTGAATCTCTTGCGGAAAGGGGATAATTCCTTCCGTGAAGCTACTAATAGGGGAAATTTCCCATTGGGAAAGAATCTTTTCAGAGGAATGTTCTTCATGGGAAAAATAGGTTCAGAGCTTCCTCCGTCACAGAAAACACCGGACACGGTTTTCGCCCTTTTCGACGCATGAAGACACGGGCACCAGGAACTACTGTTCTTTCGAAGGTCTACATTACTGCGTGCTTCGAAAAATAATTGCGCGCGTTCCATTGCAAAAAATTTCCCCAGAGGTGACGGTGACGGTGAAACTAAGGTAAAAAAAAAACGGTTTTTCCCCGTCCCTCAACGTGTCAACCTGCCAGAATATTTACCCTTCAGGTAAATATTAGGGGAAAAAGCGGTGAAATTCAGACGAACGAGGGGGTAACGTTTTGTATGGGTTGCTGGAAATCCACTAACGATGTTCGTCAGTTAGCAACACTTCGAAGAGGCATTTTCAAACTTTCATCTTTGAAGGGTCGAATGAATTCCAAGTGAGCGTAGAATTATTCGATATACTCATCGATGTTTCTATAGGTATCAAAAAAGGATATTTAGAATTTCATTCTTGAAGCTATTGACTTGGAAATCAAGGGCCTGCTTTTTTTTTTGCTTCACATGCGGAATACTTTTGTCTACTAACATCTATTGCGCCTGTAATTCCTTCAGTCAGTTATTGCATTGAATTATGAATTCGTCATGCACGATTCGATTTTATATTATTGTTACAATTGCACAAACATCATGGTTGCTCATTTCGTTTTCGCAGAATGGGATTTGACTCTGAGGGGGGTTCCATTACTGACGGAAAGTCAAGAGAAACGGGAATGGGAGAGGGAAATGTGGATCAGCCGATGCTATCGTCAGGTGGACATGGAGAACTGGAGAATCGTTTCTTGCATCATGGATCGTTTCTTTCTCTATCTCTTTGCTCTCCTCAACTTTGCAGTCACGATTGGGATTCTCTTTTCGTCCCCTCGTAATGGATAGAGCACAAACTACCCCAATCAAGGCATTAAAGAAGGAGTAGTCGCATAGTAGATCGTTGATGCCTTCGTTGAGAATGATTTAATATCGGGTGGCGTTAAAAATGCATCCTGTTTGACGCCTCATGAAATAATGTGGAAAATGCATGTTCCTTATTTCATTGTATCACGTTGGAAAGACTAAGACATTTGACTTCCGGTTTTTCATGATTCAAGTGTCTAGGTTCTCTGAATAAAAGGTGACAGACATTCAAATTGCTCTCACAAATTGCAACTTTTCCATGCTTCAAGCGGAAGTATTCTCAACACAGCATGTATGCTGTGTTGAGACTACTTCCATTCATTTTAAATGCTGTGGCGCCATGAAGGCTTCTTAGTATGTCATGACTTTGTCATAGTATTGTTGATTACGTGGGGCCTTTAACCCTCAGATAAGGCGATGAGGCCAGAATTCAATGGTATATAAGGATATGAGCGGGAAAAGAAAAGAGTTTCCTATCAACTGCAGAAACTGCAATAATTCCATTGAATTACAGGTTTGGTTTTATCAGGACACCCATGTTTAACAATCCAACCGAGCTCCAATCACCGCTGATGATGGCTTGGCTTGGTCAATAATTTGAGGAAGAGTTATGGAGATAAGTGGGCCTGGATCCTGAATGAATATGTCCTCTTACTATATCTTCAAACCCTTAGTGTTTCAAAGAATTAGAGACTGCCAGGAAGTACTCCTTCGAGAACTATTCACTGCCACCATGTTGCAGCTGGTGGTCCGGTAACGGAAACCGATGGCAATAGATACACATGTTTTGTTGTATTGAAATATTGTTGTATCGTTTTCAACGAATGCTTGGAAACCTCTCTTCATTACCTATAAAATTGAGGAGTAGAAAGCTACATCTCGCCTTTCCATGAAGCTTTTCCTCAAAGGAAGTTAATAAATTTCCAAGCACAGTGAGGATCTACCCAGTATACCATCACACAAATCGAATGTTTTTCATCCTAGGTCATCAATGATCAAGAGAACGCCCGATGGGGTCAGCACATGTTTACGTAATACCTCAGCACAAATCTCAAATTGGCAATACGAAGAATATCGTTATGAGGTCGGGAAGATGCGAACGCTGGACCCTCCTACCCGATGAATTTCCACGTAACATAATAAATAAATGCATTTGCACAGGGGGTGGAGTGAGGTAGATGTGGAAGTGAACTTCGTTGATGCCTCCAGCCTGGATTTCCGCCGATTGCAAGAACGAGGCCATCCTTGCAATGGCAGCATTGAAATTGCGGAGGGTGTACCAATAAAATTCGTGCGTGATGAGCTAACAGCAGATGAAGATTTGGGAAAGAACTGATGGTAATACGATTGGACTTCCCATGCGTACAAAAAAAAACAATAAAATACCGATTGACGAAGTTCGAACTCTTGCCACAAAAGATAAGAGCGAAAAATTTTTCTGATTGCTAGGAAGGCGGAGATAATTTCTATAAACCGAATGCTATCTCGGCAACAACTGATACAGCCTCTCACATGCTATTCACGTGAACAGGAAAGCTACAGGGGGGGGGGGACGTTGCATGGCTTGCCGTTCGCGCAGGTCCAGTATCAGTTACATTGTAGCTCAACAGATGGGGAGGCGCTGGGGGTATCTCTGCCTGTTAATATGATTTTTGTGTCATCCGAGCTTCTACTATCGAATCTTTAGAAGAAAATTAATCGCTTCATAATGGAATTGCAGTTGCCATTGACAATCATCCAACATTATGAAAATCATATTTTCGAATGAAGTTTTGCAGCTTAGACAATACGCCTTAAACTAAAGTGGGGATGCTTCATGGCTTCCCTTATATGCTTTGCTTTATTCCATCTTTATTCGAGCTGGGGTCTCTAACTGCAGTCGTTTCTCGGTGACAAACACCGAAAAACGGGTCCAGTTAGAGACCTGGTTTCGTGGTTATTCCAGGATAATTCCTACCATTTTAATAAAATTCCAGTTGACATGGAATGACCGAAATGTTATGAGTCGGATTTGTTATTTCCTTAATTTTTTAATGAATGTGCAAAGAATTGGAACCTAAATGAGAAAAGAATTCACTTCGCGATCGTGCCCCGTGGTCCTTTTGACCTTCATCTTCATCACGTATTTTTCATCAGCCAGACGTCATGGGGTGGAAGGCAGGTGTCCAGGAAGCGCTCCCTAATTTGAGGTGAGAGTATAATCGCTATTTTGTTTATCGAAATTACATTTGCGATGCCAGAATGTTTCAGGAAATAAGAATTTCGTAACTGGCACTGGTTAACTTTGCCCCGAACCACGCGTCCCTTCCTACGTGGAACCTTTACGCGAAATGAAAGTCGCAACTCTGCATAAAAATCTATCATTTTGTGCTATTCTAATCCCGGAAAGCAGCGACTATTAAAGGGGGCCTGGATAGATGGGAACATTGCCAGTCACTTCCATGCTCTTCATGCTTCCCTTTCAGCAATTGAAGACAATGCGAAAGTGGATGTTCCTCTCCCTTACCTCTCTATTACTTTTCTTCAGCCCTTGGACATCCGGACAGTCCCAATGCCCAAATCCTGAGGATATTTCCCCCTGCACCTGGGCGGCCTTAGATATATCGTACATGCGCGTGGATTGCGCCTTGGCTTCTATGAGTGAAATTTTCTCATCCTTCAACGACGTCGTCTGGTTCGAAACTTACCTCCGGTGAGCCATTTTTCTCCATTTTCAGTAAAAACCGTAATAATGAGCACATTCTTTTCACTTGAATCGAACAATTGAGAATCATGAAGTTTTCATGGATAAACTTCTATCCTCACTGGAAAATAAATTCAAGTTCCAGAGAGAAACATTTTCTGGTATCCATCCGGAAAGTCATGTCATTTATGATCTGACATTATAACGAATCAGCTATTTTCACATATTTAGGTCAACGAAAATTCACCGTTTTACTGAAATGACAGAAATGTTAATAATTGCTCCCTGGAGCTGAAAGTCTCCGATGGAAGAACCTTATCAAGATGAGAATTACCCAGATGAGAAAAATGCATGAAGCAATTTTCGCAACTGTGAATCCCATCCATCCAACGTTTTGATATATATCTGAAAAAAGAAGGCAACTGATGGGAAACTCATTTTTGCATTGCTGAGTGGCTAGATTGTTGAATACGTGACGGCAAGGTATCCGTTTAGTCTGATACTGCAACAGTTGTTAAACTGCATATGCCAATGTAGCATAAGAGCTCATGAATGAACTTTCTTGCTCTCAATGATTCATAATTGTCTCATCTCCTTTCAGAAGCTTTATTATATTGTATAATAAGAAAGTGGTGGAGCTTCCGAAAGGAATCGTTGGAAATGACTCCATATATTTGGGTTATGTCTGAAACCTTTCCACTATTCATCCGTCAATTCTCCTCCATTAGAAAGATTCCCTCCGATACCTCATGATTGAATGTGAAGATTGATTATAGCCACCTTGAGGATTTCTCATGGGACTTTAGGTTGCCGTTGCGCTTCGGGAAGGCTTACTATCTCAATCTCTTGAAGTTAATAATTGTTTTTCAGAGGGAGCAGAGCATGAATGAAACGAAGATTCCGCAGCTCATTCATGGGGACTTTTCGCCCCACAGAAATATTGCAACCTGGGGCCGTATTTAATATAGGTCTTATCTCAGTCTCCTATGATTATGCTTAATCCTATGCTTAAATTTGAGCAGGACACTAACTTTTCTCGGCTATGCACCCTACTTGAATGGATGACCCTATTCAAAATCCTTCTTAAGGATAGCATCTAGCTGAAGTGGACTGCTCAAATCTAAGGGAGGGACCCCCTTCACTTATCTCCTAGCAGAGTGGATAAGTGGACTAGTGAATAACATGGGTAACACATTCAAGCGTCAAATATCTTCTAGAGAAGGCTCTTGCTCGTGAAAGAGTTCTCCACTACAGAATCAATCCTCTTGATGCTTATTGCGAATTCGACTTGTATAAGCATTACCCATTTGACATGAACAGCATTCTTTTCCTCATTGGCCTTCTTCAGGAGGACATAGAAGCAGTTGCTCTCAGAAATCACCATATAATGGATGTTATTCATGTCTATTGCTTTGCAGTACTTTTCTACAGGATATTATCAAGCAGTGCCAAGTGACTGTGTGTAAATCTCACATATTTCTTCAAGTAGAATATTTTGGAAGGTTGTACTGGCAATGAGAGCGAGGTTTCACATTTTGTGACATTTCTTTTTGGGTACTGATTCCGAAGAATGAAGGGACTGATGATTGACTTAAAGAACTGGTTGCTTTTCCTTTTCGAAAGTGTCCGGCAAGGATGATCCCATCCAGGAAATTACTTAACCTATCAAACAGTTTTCACATGCACCGTACCTTCATTACTACCCGTACAGAAAAAGTTTCAACATGTTGAAATTGAAACCGGTGAATCAACGGTGATTCACCGGTTTTCAACGTCTGTTCAACAGGGGTTCAACAGTATTCACCGGTGAATTACTGTTGATTCACCGGTGAATTACTGTTGAATCACTGGTTTTCAACGTCTATTCAACAGGGGTTCAACACTATTCAACATTGAGTTATAATTATTATAATGTATTATGAATAATTTATTTAAAGCAAAATTTATGGAAATATACAGTGAAAAGTGATTTCAACAACGAAATGGAGATGAAGCAATATCAATAATGGAAATACTCTGCTGTGATTCTCGTCTTATATGATAGGTGTAACATTAACCCATCAAGTGGGTTCGACGTCACTGTGATGTCCGCTATGGAATACTCGTATCTACTCCGGCGGAAAGACGTGAGTGACGTCCAGTATGGTACAGTATTGCACTTCAATGACATCTCATGGATGTATTACCGCCTTGTTTAATGACCGGCTTGATGGGTTAACACTGAGGCTATGTTTGAGATATGTTAATCACAACACTCATATGGGTGTTGTGATCTAAGAATAAAAACATGACTTGCACA